AAAAAAAAAAAAAAAAAAAAAAAAAAAAACTGGTCTAAAGACCCCCAATATTGACCTTTTCTAGGAGCCATTGTCAAACACTACCCTAGACATTTGGTTGAAGTATCAGTATTTAAAAAGGAAATTCTTCATAGGGTTTTCATGTGCCATGAAAATAAAGACAAAAAGAAAACATCTACCCTGAGCAGCACTGGAATCATACAAATACATTTATGTTTCTACCTTTAATTTTATATCAGTCAGACATCAATTTGGTGACTTCTGTATACTTGTATTGAAGCAATTCCTGATTTCCAAGATTGTGTTGTCGAACTTCAGGAAGGAATGAAATTGAGTGTGAAGCAAAAGAGGAACCTATTGCTAGAATAACTTTCTAGAGAGGAAAGAACTGAAAAAGGAAAGGCATCAACCCGAGTCTCTGAAGGTCTTGCACTTCATTGGATTCCGGTAATTGACTCAGGAGTGAGTGAGATGATGATTTCCAGTGGCCTTGTTTGCTGCTGGCAGCCTCTGGTTTCAGCCCCTGAGAGGAGCGTCCCAGTTAGTGTTGCCCAGCAACGGCATGCTGGGTTGAGAGCTGGAATGTGAAGGGCTGCAAAACGATTTTTAAAATAAACACACAACTTACCATCAGCATGAAGCAAACCAAAGGGAGAGAAGTACTGAGCACTACACTGCAGCGGACAGCGAGGCTGAATCGAAAGGGAAAAAAGAAAACACTGGCTTAAAGTCAAGGCGCCTGGAGGTTGATTGGTGATGGCTTCATAAAAAAAAAAAAATTAGTTCTGAGTTTCTTCTTAATTTAAAATATAAACTCAAATAATAATTGGGGGATGGAAAGAAGACATGTTTTTAAAGCACAAAGTATGGGGCTAGGGATTTAGCTCAGTGGCACTGCACCTGCCTCACAAGTGCAAGGTCCTGAGTTCAGTCCCTGGTACCGGAGAAATAGTGCGATACTTAAGAATTTTTTGAATTTCTTAAAGGGAGAAAGAATACATTCAGGAATCATTCAACAAGAAGCTTAGTATTTATTGCTAACAAATCCTGGAATGAAAGAGTAGGTGATGTGCAGGGATTTAGAAAACCCTGCTCCTTAGAGGAAATGAGTAAAAATCATTATCAATCAATAATAGCTTATTTAGAATGTGTCTTTCCAGATTTGCCATGGTTTCTTTTAAACTAAGATTGTCAGTTTGGTAGAGTGCATGATATTCTGATGTGTCTTGACTGTGACAAGGCAGATGAAAAAGAAATCTCCAACAGTAATTAGTCTTTGGAGGAGATGATAAAATATGAGGTGGATGAAACACTACTTCTTTGTAAGCCTTGCTCAAAAAGCAGTTCATTGCCATGGCAGTTGGGGGCATGATCTGAAATAAGAGTCAGCAAGCCCTATGTTTAAGTTTTGTCCTGAAAAAAGTCCCATTAATTTGATTAATACAGAGTGGGTGAGCTTATTCCATGAGTACATGGCAGGAGTTAGGAGGATTAGCCCTTGTATTAATTACTCTCTTGTCACTGAGCCACAACGCCTGACACCAACAACCGTAAGGAGGAAAGGTTACTTTGGCTCACAGTTTGTAGAGGTTTCAGTCAATAGTCAGCTGGCTTCAAGGTAGAGGAGAACCATCTCGTAATATGGTGGCCAGAAGCAGAGGCAGAAGTCAGGGAAGGAGGTATGAGATACCTTTCTAAGACACACCTCAGTGACCCACTTCTTCAGACGAGGCTCCACCTCCCAACCTCACATGTAGCTGTAAAGTCATCAGCAGACTAATCCAGTGATGCGTGTCACCCCATAATAACTCCACTGTGAAGACAGAAGATTTGGGAGGGGGCATCTAGACCCAAACCCTAACAGCCCCTCTGATAGGAAGGGATCATGTCACACTCAAAATAGTCTTTGAGTGGTAAAATATGGATGACAATCACAACGAAACACGTGAATCTCTATATAAAAATGTAATGAAAATGGAGAACAATTTAATGTTCATGACTAGAAAAAAGTGAGTTTCATTTTTACACTGTTATCAGCAAACTGTAGTGAGCTAGAAGTACAGTATGGCTGCTGTCTGCCTTAGTAAGTAAAGACATATACTATGACACTGTTTCCCTCTACATTTTAACCTCAGCTCTGTTGCAATGGACTGTCTGGTTTTGATCAGGTTATATAGGCTTCTGAGGCTTCCATGGTTTGGTTTGGTTTGGTTTGAGGAGGTGTTTTGCTTTGAGTTATTTTGGGGTGTGTGGTACCGGGGATCAAATTGAGGACCTTTCACCTACTACACAAGTGCAGCACTGCTAAGCTAAATCCCCAGCCCTGCTTTAATTTTCCTTTCTATAAAGTGGAGATGAAAAATAATGACTACTTTCATAGAGTTGTTGTGAAGACTACATAAGAACATGAATGTGGGGCCAGGGATTTAGCTCAGTGGTGCTGTCACCTGCCTCACAAGTGCAGGGTCCCAAATTCAATCCCTAGTTAAAAAAAAAAAAAAGAGAGAGAGAGAGAGAGACAACATGAATGTAAAAATATCTTAAATTGTAAAAATCCCTCTATCACTCTAAACTGTGTGAATAGTACTTCTCTATGTAAATAAACTTGACAGTTAATAAGGAAAATTCTGCCAATAGTGATCACTGGATTTTAACATAGACAATGAGAAAAAAACTAGTGAACTACAAAATAGGACTGTTTAGGAAGACTTGGAGATCTGAAATACAGCAGAAAAATCTGTACAAGTTAAGGTTGAAGAGAATTACTGTGTCACAGGCTTGCAGAACTATCATGTAGATCAGAGTCAAGTTCTACACTGAGTGTAGACCATAAGAAGGAAAACCTTTTCTTTGAGTAGGATAGTAATTAAAAGTTAGAGATTTTTAAATGGCCAATTTTATCATTATAGAATCTTAAGGCAGGGGGTCACAAGCATGCATTTCTGCCTTTGCAACTAGATTAAGAGCTTTTAGTGACAGAGCTTTATTCCTTAAGTAATAAAGCAACCATAATTATTTTGGTAAGAGGTGCTGAGTAAGCAGATATATGCACTCAGGTGAAGAACATGGGTATCGTAGCAATTTAGACATCGTCAGTAAAGACAGCACAGTAAAAAAAAAAAAAGGAAGAAAGAAAACTTTAGAATTTCTTTTTAGAAAATAGGTTTAGTGAAAGGCATTTTGTATGGTGCAGTTTATGTTAGATTGTCTGAGACTTGATTAATAAAAAAGGATGTCCTGAGAGTTCCAGGAATATGACAATAGAATGGAGCTCTCAGATGAGAATGAAACTTACTTTCTCAGTAACACCAAGGTCCCAACATTGACTACAGGATCCAACATTTAATAGTCAGTCATTTTTGCTTTTTTCTGCCAAGATTTTGTATGGTGCAGTTTATGTTAGATTGTCTGAGACTTGATTAATAAAAAAGGATGTCCTGAGAGTTCCAGGAATATGACAATAGAATGGAGCTCTCAGATGAGAATGAAACTTACTTTCTCAGTAACACCAAGGTCCCAACATTGACTACAGGATCCAACATTTAATAGTCAGTCATTTTTGCTTTTTTCTGCCAAGAGTCACATAATATATTTATACATGTGAATGCATTCGTGCACACACACACACACACACACACACGCACAAACAGGTTCACACATCCCCTCTAATTCTCTCCTTATTTCTTAAATTGTTCTTTTAGAGGTGCATGCCTGCCTGGCTGTTTTTTTCTGCCAAGAGTCACATAATATATTTATACATGTGAATGCATTCGTGCACACACACACACACACACACACACGCACAAACAGGTTCACACATCCCCTCTAATTCTCTCCTTATTTCTTAAATTGTTCTTTTAGAGGTGCATGCCAGTGCCTGGCTGTGCTTATTCAAGTTGCAAGGGTATTCGTGCATAGTCAGACTTATGAGTGTATGCTTCGTTCAGAACAATCTTTTCATCTTCACATTTTCCGTTCCCTTCAGACACTTCTAGTTTATGCTCTAGCAGTACAGTACTTCCTTTTCCATTAGGCAGTGTGGCTCACTGTCAGAGGCCATTTGGGCACAAACCAGACCTTTTGTTGAGTTCCCGTACTCCTACCTTCCTAATTATAGAATTCAAGGCAGAATGAGTGAATTAATAACGTGTGTTTATTCCCTGCAGTGACTGGAGAAGTGTAATGCTGCAGCATACTTACCATAGCAATAAGCTCTCCTCCCTTCCTTTATCCTCCATTTTTGCAGTGTGACTTCGCAGCAGCAAGAATGGAAGGTGCACTTTACTCACCAGTGAGTAAATCATGTGAATGGGTGTTTTAAAGCACATGCCCAATACTCTGTTCACTAAGAGAACTATACTTTCAAAAGCTCTCTGAGAACACATGCTTGGAATTTGAAATTGTACTAAGTACTGTTTCCTCAGGTATCTTAGCTGAGGCAAGTGCACACAGGCATAGATGACATTTAAATATGGACTGTTGTGTTTAATTTCTCTAATCAAAGAATTATATGGCATCTGATTCTATAGTCCCTCAGTGTAGGCAAATACTAAGAATATTAGCACCCGAGGAATATAATTCTAGATTACCAAAACTCTGTAGACATCATTTCTCTTTTCTTGAATGCCTGGAAGGTTCTGATCCACTCTTCAGTGAGGTGTCCTTTGTCCCTTGGGACACAAGCGATAGTCTGTGTCTTCTAACCCATACAGGTTGATATAGAGCATGCAGTGGAGCCAAAGCTGCCTGGCTCGGTACTTGGTTGGAAAAGTTGGGTAGTTACCTTTCTCTCTTCTTTTAAATCAGCTACCCATTTGATTAAGACTTTTAGAAGAAAAATCTACCTCTCAGACCTCCTGCACAAAGTAGGTTAAAGGTGAAAATTAATTCTCTGAACGATAAATGCTTCACTATGTTGCTATTTATTTTGCATTTAGTTCTTTGGGGGAAGAAAATGATAAAATGACATGAGGAGAGATGGAAGTTGTTACTGGAGGGAGGAGGAAATGTAATGCCCTACATAAATAAAAACTCTTAATGGTATAGACTGAGAATATCGTTTCTAGAAAATGCAAGAACCTCATCGCATATAGTAGTACCATAGGTAACTAGGATGTTTTGTGGACAAGAGAACCAGAAGAATCACTTTTCCTCCTAAACTCCATGTATAGGAGCCACAACCAGAAGCCGAATACTAGATTGGATAATCTGCGGTTCTAAGGCCTCAGAAAACAATTCTTGTTAAACTAGTTTTTTACTTGTCTTTCCCGTAGGAGATTAATGACATCTGATATGATTCCAATTCATTGATAAATTTTAAGTGGTAAAGCAAAATAAAAGAGATGAATATTTTCCTCTTGAATCCAAGATTATTACCAGACACAACCCACGTTGCGCCATGTTTTTCCATATAAATGTCCGGATGCCTGTAATCTAATTCCACACTATAAAGCCGATTATGTGTGTTCAGATATTAAGCACATTAAATAACAAAATTATTAAATGCTTTGTTTTGGATACTAGTTTCATCTTTGTGTTTGTGCAAGACATATGTAAATGATGTATATCTAAACAAAATTTTTACTCTGAAAGTGTTTGAGTAGACCACTTGAATTCATATCATGCAATAGAATTTAATACTCCTTCCTTCACAATTATTTCCAAATTCATTATTTTTTAGCATTCAAAATAAAATGAAGTCCACATTTTTTATAAATCTTAAGAGGAATTTTTTTCAGGCACTAGTGCTTGTTACCATTATGCTACATTCAGCACTATAAAATAGCATATATGAAATAAACTAAACGAATTCTGCTTTTATTTCTGATCTGTCATCTGGTTTTACAAAGAATTCTTATTTTTTCAGCCATTGACCTTATTAATAATTTGCTTCAAGTGAAAATGAGGAAGCGCTATAGTGTGGATAAGACCTTGAGTCACCCTTGGCTGCAGGTAAAAATCAATCATTGATTTTTTTCCCCCATTTGAATGAAATTCCTAATACTTGTAAGATTTTGATATTAAATGTAGAAATCTTTTGCCACTTTTAAAAAGTGTAATTATCCTAATTTTTACTTGTTTGCCAAAATGCATACAACTTCTTAGGATTTAGTAAGTTTAGGAGTGCTAAACCTCTCTCCTTCTAACAAGAAATGGGACAGGGGATCCACACATCCACACACCTGCACCAAAAAAGCCAAGCATCATAACGGAACTCAGAGAACCAGATTTCAAAACATCTGTACGTGAAATCTTGATAAAAGTCCAAATAGATGGCCACCTACTCATGCACTGTACTCTCTTGGAAGCTGTAGTTTTAAATCCTAAGATATTAAGCATAGATACAAACAAGTAGCAAATATAAACTATAGATAAGCTTATGTTTTCATAAATATTTGTTACCTTCACATTAGACTTTATCTCTGAAATATTGAATGGCGATTTATCAGTATTAAACTTCAGGGGAATGCCAACATGCCTAATTACTTGACTACAGGCATTCATCATTCATACTTGATTCATATCATATAAATACTGTGTATTTTCAAAGATTAAGCTGACCAATGGCCGTGGTGCTGATGCTGTCTCACAAGGATGCATGAGGAGTGATGCAATACAGTTAGAGCGGAAGCTCCCTTGATCGTGGGAGCTGTCAACATATGGAATAGCATGTCGAGGTGTAATGATCTCTATGGTAGCACTTTGAAATTTCTTCTTCAGGACTATCAGACCTGGTTAGATTTACGAGAGCTGGAATGCAAAATTGGGGAACGCTACATCACCCATGAAAGCGATGACTCAAGGTGGGAACAGTATGCAGGCGAGCAGAGGCTGCAGTACCCCGCACACCTGATCAATCCAAGTGCTAGCCACAGTGACAGTCCTGAGACTGAAGAGAGAGAGATGAAAGCCCTCAGCGAGCGTGTCAGCATCCTCTGAGTTCCATCCCCTATAATCTGTCAAAACACTGTGGAATTAATAAATACATACGGTCAGGTTTAACATTTGCCTTGCAGAACTGCCATTATTTTCTGTCAGATGAGAACAAAGCTGTTAAACTGTTAGCACTGTTGATATATCTGAGTTGCCAAGACAAATCAACAGAAGCATTTGTATTTCGTGTGACCAACTGTGTTGTATTAACAAAAGTTCCCTGAAACACTAAACTTGTTATTGTGAATGATTCATGTTATATTTAATGCATTAAACCTGTCTCCACTGTGCCTTTGCAAATCGTTGCTCTTACTGGAGCCTCATTTTGGTAAGAGACAGAACCTGTCCGTGAAGCAGCTCTGTTCCGTGTTTCCCAGTGGTATTAATACAGTATGCAAACTCTTGAAGAGTAGATTACCAGTGTTCTATGAACAACTCAGAGTTCACAAGGGAGAAAATGAAAGACGAAGGAGAAGGTATATAAAATCCTAAGACACTAATGCATGAAATAGTTTTACTGTATGGTTTTGAATCCTTCACTTGTGGAGTGTGCCTCAGTATATTTAAAGTCAAATAAGAGTGCCTAGGCACAAAGAGCCTGTAGCTCTTGCTCCCAAATGCCTTAGAAATGCAAACTGATGTAAATAACAGATATGTCTCTCCCTTTCTTACCACACCCTGCTTTACTATGGAAAACCAGCAATTAAGCAACCGTTTGCTTTTTGTGTATTTTTCAATAATAATAAATATTCTTGTCAAAATATGTATTCATTTGATTGAATTGTTTTTATTATAGTCTATTTTAGGGTTTTCAGGCCAATTAGATGCAGAGGTATCTGATAAAAAAGCAGAAAAAAGAGAGGTCGAGAGGAAGTTCACCCAGTTTACTCTGAAGTGGTAAAAGTGTGCTATAAAAAAGCCTTTTTGTCTTGTTTGTCATCTAACTTCCAGTTGAAAAGAAGTCTTCCAAAGGGGAAATTAACCAAAGACAAACAGGAACTTAAAAGACCTCAGTAGAAATATTGCATTTGCTATCTCAGTGTATATTCCTGATTCTGTCAGTATAAGCCAGAGATTTATTAGAATACTGGCTAAATTTCTTTTTATAAGATCTAAACAGGATGGTCTTGAGGTAAACAAACAAACAAAATAAAAAAGATAATCTTTTTTTAAAAAAGTCAAACGAGGTTCTTTAGCCTGGAAAAGAGAAAGACAGTGCCGGACCTAACAGATACATTGGTGTATAGCGTGAATAATATGGGCTGTTTTCCTTCCTAGCAGAATGAGGTGGTAGATTATTTAACAAAACATTTACAGTTAATATTTGGAAGAATATTACAGGTCTTAGAAGATATTTGAATATACAGGTAAGTGTGCTAAGACTGCATATACTATTTCAACTTGATGGGCTTGGGAGTTGGCTGATCTTTCCAATAGTTGCCTCTGCTTTGTATTATTACTAAATTTTATACAAATAGTTCTGGAATTTTCAAAGTTCCTCAGTCTAGTGCTCTTCTATAGGGATAGGATGTGTGTGTGTTCATATTGAAGTAATTATGCATATAGAAGCATACATCAAATTGCCTACTTCTGGTGCAATATGAAATGAAATCAATAACTTCTTGCTTGTGGTGGGATCTTAAAAGATACTCAGTAAAAGCACATATATATCAACTGCTCATGCAGCAAAAATTTGTGGAACTGTTCTACATAGCTGTCTGCTATACTCTAAATTTAAGTGTGAATTAGACTTGGTCCGAGTTGAAAGAAGCTTCCTGCCTATTGAAATGAAACAAAGAAAAGCAAAACTTGATGACTCTTATAGGAAATTGTATGTAATTGTATGAAGCATCACACAAATCTGCTAAGAATGGAAGAAGAAGACAAGCAACAGGGCAATGTTTGAATAGGCCTTTAAAAAGTGGTAGATATACACTTCGATTGTGTATGAGAGGTAGGTAGGCTTTGATTGGGGAAAAATAGCATGACCAAAGATATGAAGGAAGGAGTACTGTTACACAGACAAATGTAGTTCCTTATAGCAGGATAATAAAGGTAAGAAAGAGAACTGAAGAGGTACATTCAATGGAGATGGTTACTGTCTAGGTGCAGAGGTCGTTGTCTGTTAATCTAAGGATTATTCTTTATGGAGTTCAAGAACTCTTCAGACATTTTAAATTGACATCATTTCTATTCCGCTTTAGTGATTTGCTTTGTTTCTTTAAGGCAGTTATGTTGACAGTGAATTTTCAGTCTCCGCACATCTGAGAATGTGTTTGACCTTCATGTTCGAAGGCAAGTTTGGCTGGTAGAAATCTTGACTGACAGATTTTTTTCTCTCAATATTTTGAATATAGTACCCTACTGCCTTTTGGTCTCTGTTGTTTATGATAAGAAATCACCTTAAATTTTACTGCAGTTTTTTTGTGTGGATAAATTATTTTTCTCTTGATGCTTTCAATATTTTGTTTTGTAGCAGTATGACTATGATGTTTCTAGTTGCAAAGATTCTGTGGTTTGCCTACTTGAATTTGTTGAAGTTCTTGAATATAGATATAAATATTTTTAATCAATTTTGGGAAAATGAGGGCTATTGTTTCTTCAAATATTTTTCTGCCCACTTATCTTTGTCTTCTCTCTCTGGAATTCCTACTGTATGTATATAAATTGATATGATTTGGTCAGTACTGGTGATTTCTTAATCTGTTCTTCATTCTTTTTTTCTTTCTATTCTTCAGATTAGATAATCTATATTGATCTACTTTCAGGCTCACTGGTTCTTATCTTGTGGATCATATTTGTCACTGAGACTCTCAGGTGAGTTTTTAATTGTAATTATTTTAAGAGGGAGATATTTTATAATCTTTTTTTTTTCTTTTTTGGTGCTGGGGATCGAACTCAGGACCTTGCACTTGCAAGGCAGGTGGTGACAAAACTGAGCTAAACCACTGGTTTTTATTATCCTTATCTTTAAAAAATACATTTCCTATGGGATGACTCACTCTCATAATCCTTTATTTCTTTAAAATTGAATACTCTGAGTTCTTTGAACATATTTATAATAATCGGTTTGAAGTCTTTGTTAAACACAACATTTAGCCAATCTTTTACCCCATCTTCCCATCTTAGACGATTTCCATTGAGAGCCTCTCCTTCTTATATATAGCATACTTTGTGGTTTCTTTTAGTATCTGATGGATTTTATGCAGACTGGATTTTTTTTTTCCTGGTACCAGTGATCCAACTTGGGACCTTGTGCTTAGGAGACAGGCAGCAGCACCACTGAGTTAAACAGCAGCCCCAAGACGGGATAGTTTAACTAAGGTACTATAGTGATTCTGTATTGTGACTCCTCTTCCACGGAAGTAATTTTTCTTCAGTAACTTTCCAGTGTTATTTTTTTCTGTCTCCCCTATTCTGTGTAGCTGATCTTTCTGATTATATTTATGTGGGAGGGGGTTGGCTTTTTTTTTGTTGTTTTCATTATAAGGTTCTAGGAGCCCCTTTGGAACAGCAGCACTTTGCAGTCAAAAATTGATAATTTAGATATTTTGTTTAAGGACACTGATACAGTAGGAAAGATTTCTAACTTTTTCTAACATATATGAGAGTATATATGAATTTAAACAGTGAAATTTTACCAACTGCATTCACTTTGTGTTTAAAAACCTTTACATTCAA